TTAAAGGTCCGTCCTTACCTAGCCAAGGATCGAGCCAAAAGAGAGTCGTCGTACCGTCCCCCAGGACCCATCGAATTCCGCCAACAATGTGAGGCCAAATCGAGCGGATGGCGCTTAGTAGGGCTGATCCCCGTCGCCAAGGAAGTGGGTCTGAAAGGTTCGTAAAATTCAACGCATATTTTGCTTTGAAAATACGCACCCATAATGCATCCGGCTCGGTTAACAGGCCCCATCCCACTTTCATAAGCAAGGCACTATTCATGCGACGGAGATCCTTGATCCCCAGCCCCCCGTTCTCCTTCGGTTTGCATATATTCGGCCATGCTATTAAATGCACTTTTTTCCGGTCATTAGTACCACCCCACACAAAAGCACGACTTCGCCGGTCAATCCCGTCAGTGATCGTACACGGGAGCTTGGAAGACTGCATGGAATAATAAGGTAACATGCTCAGGACTGACTGCGTAAGGGTCACTCGCCCAACAAGAGATAGTGATTTCATTCTCCAGCCCGCTAATCGCGACTCCGTCCACTCCAAAATATGGGAATATGTATCCTTAGTAACTCGCCCATGGAGAATTGGTACGCCCAGGTATTTTTCCCAAGTCGTCCGTTAATTTGAAGTTCAGAATCGAGGCCAGGCGGCCTTTTTCCACGTCTGGAACATTTTTAGAGAAAAAAAATCTGGGTCTTTTCAGCACTTACTTTAAGGCCCGAGCGGGAACAGAACACGTCAAGCACCTGCAATAGCACAGCTGCCTGTTCGTCGGACGCCTCCAAGAAGAGAAGGAGGTCATCAGCGAACATCAAAAAAGGAACTTGGACTTTCTCGCGGCCGACTGAAATTGGGCGCCAGTATGAGTTATCGACCGACTCATTAATCAGCTGGGCCAGTCTTTCCATGCAAAGAACAAAAAGATAGGGCGACATGGGGTCCCCTTGTCGAACCCCCCTCGTGGGTCGAAATTCCTCCCCAATTGTCCCATTCCACAAGACACTCATCGATGCTGAGCTAATACAAGCCATGACGGCGGTAACAAACTTTGCAGGATACCCAGCGAGGCGAATAGTTTCTTCAATGAACTCCCACCGAAGGTAGTCATAGGCCTTCTCCAAGTCTACCTTAATCACCATGTACTTCTTCGCACCACGTTTGCCACGCATAGAATGTATAAGCTCTTGGGCAATAATGATGTTATTCGTGATCTGCCTACCCGGGACAAAGCTTGCCTGAGCCGGATGAATTAAAATGGGGAGGGTACATTTCATGCGATTGACGAGCACTTTGGTGAAGAGTTTATAAATAACATTCAAAAGGCTAATGGGC